AGCTGGTTTTATTTCAATTAAAAAAGTGTTTTAATAATTTCCATTGTTCAGTAGTGGAAGGGTCACTGACCCTTCTGATTAAGTCAGGACTGAATGGTTTCCGGTCCTGGGGATTTTAGGTTATAAAATTGAGAAAGTTCTGGGCAAACCAGAATGTGTTGGTTACCTTACCGACATGTTAAGAAAGCTTTTGAAGTAGTGAGCACACCATCAGTGGAGGTGATCAAGTAGAGGCTGACCAGTTCTCAGGGATGTGTCTGGGAAGTTTTTGTTTTGGAGGAGTATGAGCTCGGTAACCTCTGTGGGAGTCAACCTAGTCTGAGACACTGAGACGCTACAAAGAAAAATAACCTGTGGTAGAGCCAACTTCATTGCTAAATCCTCTGGAATGAGAAATCCTTCCATATTTAGATTCCATATTTAGAATTCAAGTGAGTTGAATCTTCTAAAATAATCCCCAGTCCCTCTAGGGGATTGCTGCAATCAAGCTATCCATCAAGAAAATATTTGAGACAGAGACAGACACTCAGCCTATTTACAAGAAAAGCAAAGAATTTGGAATCGAGGGAATTTATGCTTAAATTCGAAGTCTAGGACTCAGTGGATTTAGGCAATTTGTTTAATCTCCTTGATCGTGGATTTCTCACCTCTGAAACGAGGATGGTAACATCTACCCTGCTTATTTTATGGGGTTGATGGGAGGACCATACCAGATAGTGTATGGTAAGGCATCGTGAACTGCAAAGCACATCCATTTTCATTGCAAGTTTTTTTAAAAAATTGAAGAACAGTTTATTTACAATGTTGTGTTAGTTTCTGGTGTACAGCGTAGCAATTTTAAAAAACATGGTTCTCCCTACCATCCTGAGATGTTGACAAGGCTGGTGGTATGCTCACAAGCCAAATAGATGTGGACAAGCTGCATTATTTAAAGTAGGCTAAACTATGGTAACAAAAAATGGAAGAATTTATAAGAAGTCAATGTGAATAGCAGATTATTTCTGGTTGATGTTGATAGTTCAACAGCAATAATTCACAGACCCAGGCAACTCCCAGCTCGTGGCTCTGGCTCTCTCTGGAGTTTCATTCTATCCTTACTACCCGGTAGGACAGTGGAAGGAGGATATAGAGACAACACGCTTAACCTCTTAAAAGCTATGCCCAGAAATGGCCCCCATCAAGTCCACTCACATTCTGTTGTCTAGAACACACTCACATGGCCAAATCATGCATGAGCACCTGGAAACTATAGCCTGGTGTGGGCCCAGGACCGTGGGAAAGATCGCTGGAGGTAGGATATGTCAGATTGTAAGTGGTGACGCTCGTGCCCACAGGTTTTAGATTTTTTCATTGTGATTGTTATTGCCATCCTGGGAAGTTGAACATGGATTTTAATTTTAATGAACAGTCAACAGTCTCTGTCTCAAGACTCTCATGGTTATGGCACGCTCACAACTAACGTTTAACTGGTTCTAATGTCTGGACTTAGTAGCAGCCCAGCCTCATCTACTCAAACATGCCATAAGCAACTGGGAAATGCCTGGATGAAACTAAGAATAAATTACCAGATCTCTAATCTCCTCCTGCTACTTAATTCTGTCTTTACAGAGCACCTACCTTGTGCCAGGCATGTTGCTGAGTATAGGATGCCTAACAATAGACAAAACATGGTGCTTACTCTCAAAGAACTCACAGACAGTATCAATTTATTTTCCTTGGTTTCTCCAAAGATGTTTCTTTCTCCTACCTGGTCTTTGTCAGTCCAATGTGCGTAAATATTTTTAAACTGTTTCTTAAACGCTGTGATGAAAGTGACTTCATCTCACAAAAGCAGCCATTTTTTCCCTTTCATCCTATTTCTCGGTCCTTCTCTGTGGAATGAATATTTGATGCTTTAAGAAAAGTGTCAGTTTAGTGATAGATACTGAATAACGTGTACAAGGAACACCTCACGGGATAACAGGTGTGAGCTGGGTTATAAAGCTGCTTTCTCCACTATCAGCTGGGATGCTTAGCTTGCTGCTAACAGAATCCCCTGCTTCACTTAACGTAAGTGATAAGAAAAAAGCTGACGTTTCCTCTACAGAGAGAAACTCCAAGGTGGGGCGTTTCCAAGGCTGGGTAATTTTGTGATTCAGCCACGACATCAAGGACTCAAGCTGTCTGTGTCAACATTGCTACTCAGTATGTCCCCTCCTAGTCACAGACGACCGCTGTGGGTCCAGTTGTTCCAGGATCTAGGAAAAGATATGTCTAGGAAGAGTCTCACTTACACGTCTTACTCCAGTCACGCCACTGCAGGAGCAGCAGCAGCAGCTCCCTGTCAGACCTCCCCTCTGTCCACAACGGCATATGGTCAGCTTCC